AAAGTTATTGTTTAATTTATCAATATTGGCTATAGAGAATCCACCGAGGGGAGTTGGAAAACGCTGACTCCAAACCAATAGTCACATGAGCTGTAGGATCCCGAGGGAACAAATCAAGTATGAACCTAATGTTGGTCACCGGATACCATGGGACTGCATCGCCTAACGTTGCTCCACTGCCTTGTGGATTAGACCTCTAGGCCAAAAGCTCGGAGTGTACCCCTCCCCTAAGAAAACTACCTGCTTCGGTTTGAACGCCCGAGCAGTATTTCAGCTCTCACACAAGTCAAGTGACGAAGTGTAGTGCATACATATTTAGTGCATCCTAGAACCAAGGTTTATGTGTGTGTGTGTGTGTGTAAAGTAAACTAAATGTAAAGATATCTATCTTTTTTATATACAAAAGGAAACTAAAAGATACAAAATTCTTTGTTTACACAATAAACCTAATAATGAACATAAATAACAAATTTCATTAAGAAATAATTTGCCTAAGTAAATATGATTGAAAAGAAGAAAAAGACGTTGATGAATTATTGACAGATCAATTTATTTATTCTATTCTCAAATTTCATTCATTCAAGTTTAGGTTTAGATTTTCTTGTTCATTGTAAAACTATACGAACAAAATTGTTAAAGATGGTTAATGGTGTTGGTAAAATTAGGCCAGTGGAAAGAAGAAATATAGTGAATTTGTACTAGTATGATTAATTACTATTATTATGAATTTACATGAACCAGATATGGTTCATTAGAAGAATTCAGGTAAGATACTAAAACTTCGGGTAAAACAAAATTACTAACGTTTTGTATTAGTTTTTTTGAATCATTACATTGATGTTTAGGATTGCAATTGATCAGTCTCTTATTGGTATGTGTGCATTCTGTGAAGATTGCCTCAATATTGCTCTAAATTCCAAGCATGATAAACAGAGATGGATGGTGGCTAGTAATGGAATCCAGGATGGCGTTTCGTCCTATTTGGGACTCGTCAACTGGATGTATCCGGATCCGGGAGTTGATGTTCACTCCAGGACTCAAACCCAGTACCGTTCGTTTCAAACGCCATCGCACTATTCAGTTAGCTACCAATGTTAATAATTGCAATGAGTGAATTTCTTATATGATTTAACTAAATGGATATATAACACAATTCTATTCTAACACTAGTCAAACTTGTCGTTCAATTTTTTCCTTTCCTTCAGATTCTGGTGTGGAGAATATGACAGTGTAAACTGTTAGGAACCAGTGTATGAATAAGTAAGTGAACAGATTAGTATATATGAAGATGAAAATGAGAAACTTTAATCGATTACTAATTCTAATCTCTAATGTAATCACAAAACTTGATATAGTCAGTTGATATAAATAAAATCAAGGCCTTTTTCAGGTGAAAAAGTTTCGATATTCGCAGTATGAAATCAGTTTATGTTAAATTAGTAAGCAACCGAATAGATAAGCAACTAAGTAAGTATATAAATTAGTAAATGTATGGTATCAAATTTTCTAATGGTATAATTATCTGACAAACTAGTCTCATCGTCATACGTAGTGTTTGACCTGAAACAAACAGGTGGGCAGACATCGAAATAAGAGAATGCTGACAAGCTTACAAAAAATAGTCAGACATGAATTAGGGTCATATGCACTACAGGTGATCTTTAATCACCTTGTAGTATGCATATATATATATATATATATATATATATATATATATATATATATATATATATATATATACTAAAGAGTCTTCAGGCTGAAAGTGCACATGGTTTGGTAACATAATAACGATTTACAACTCAGTTAATTTATTTTCCATAGTATTCAAGACTAAGGTAGTGATAACCCTTTCATTTCATAAATCACTGCAAAAAGGAACGTCTTAGTGTACAAATAAACCACATTTATCAATCCTAATCTGATATAATGTAGAGGGTAAAATGTCTTAGGTCGAAAAAAGCAAACACCAGATATTTAAGCAAAAACAAAAAAATATCAGTCTAATAAATAAACATGGTAAATAGGCAAAAAAGAAAGATTAACTTTCAGGATGAAAACGAACACAATTATAGATTATATATGAAAATAATTCTAAATACCTTAGAGATATTATATTGTATGGCTGAAAAATAAGAATTAGGGTACTTGAAGTAGGATGGAATCGAAAATACGCCTTTATTATTATTTAGAAGACTAGTAAAGCTAAGAAGAAATTCGTTTAAGCACAATACTCCCCAATATATCGTTTAAAAAAAATAATCGACTTGAATGCCCTAAAATGTAACTCTATGTAGATATTGAGTCCTTTATAATCATTTGTTACATGGGTGTCTTTAAACACCAATGAAGTCCCACAAACAATTTTCAAATGTTATTCATGAGTACCCAACAATGTGTAAACAGAATAACGAAAACCTCGGTAAACATTTTCAGTGCAAAGTTTTGTCCCAACAACATATAGCATACTATCAACAAGGTGTGCGGTACCTGGAAAACAAACTCACTACATTTTAATAAGCTTCCTAAATGTTCACTCAGAATGATAATTAAGGTCAAATCCTTAAAAACAGACGTTGTCAGAAATTTCATTAGTTTAAATCTTGTCGAGATGATGAATAGAACACGGGTTTACTAGATTCCTCAACGAATGCACTTTGGCCAGAATCCTGAAATCCCATACAATAAGCACTCATACGGGATGTGACAGTCAGATATTACTACTTCCAGGACCAGTTAATGCTTATTAGAAACAACACTGCATGTTTTCACTTAATCGTAGATTAGGTTAGAACAAGAACCCCAATTACTGGATCGAACTGTAATGATCCAACAGAGTATACTAATAACCTGAAGCGGAAGTTTTGGCTCTTACAGTAGAACTAAACAGTCGGAAATCAAAGCATAAGTTTTCAGTGCTTCTCTGACTTATAAAGAGCTGTGAAATTTTCTAACACATAACTAGTGTTTTATTCGAGCAATAGCAAAATAAAGGTCTATCAGTTGAATATAACCATACATTTCTTCGGGATTCAGCCGGAATAAAAGTAGAACCACGAATGTACGTTTACCATGATAATTTCAGTGGAGATATAATAATCCGATGAAACTGAGGGTGTATCATAAAGAACTACAACTAGGGTTATAAGCAGACAACAACAAAATTTCTTGTTACTGGGTATTATTCAAACGTTTAAAACCTTCAAGTTTGAATGGAATTAATCCAACTTATTATTAATATCGCATGATGCAACCATTTATTTCTATTGTTAGTTCATTCAAAAAAATAAACCGAAATTTCAAGTCACGTTTAGTAAAGCAATCAATCAGATATGTCTTTTTGTTTTTTTCTTTCAAAACCGATATCTTGTTTGTTTGATGATAAGACAAATATTTAAAAAAATTAATTTGAATTAGTCAACACATTTTGTTGGCCACACACCTAAATAAACCAAACTTGATTCAGTTGTCGCATATCTTATTCATTAAGACAATTGGTAACATACAAACACATCTCGCTAGTAGTATTTGTTTGAAAAAAAAGAAAACCTGTCTCCTACTAATCAAGATATACAATATCATTATTATTATTAATATTAAAGATATAAATATGCACCTGTCACAAGATTTGATTAGAATAGATTGACATTGCTGTCATGTTGAGAGAATTAGTAATCAATATTATAAACCTAGTACAGAACATATTAATCTGTTTTATCATGGTAACCTATGTGCTCATTTTGGTACTCATCTAAAAAAACACAACAGATCTTTTAGAATAGGTTAAGTACGGTACATTCAATTAAAAAAAAAGTTATTTGAATAGTTTTGCAAATTTAAAAAGTGGTCTAGTAAGTCTGGTCCCCAGTTTGATTAAAAAAGATCTTCAATTAACATGAACATACTTCTTAAACAAACTAAAGGTTAATATGATACTAATCAAGTTATGATGTCGAAGAATTAACTTAGAAACTATTGATCGGTTAATAACAAGTTGAACTGTCATGGTCATGGAGATAAATGTATTAGATAAACAAAGGTAAATATCTCCATTTGTTTAAATATTGAGGGAATAACCTGAACTACCAAGGATTTCTCGTCCTAATTAGTCTGATTCTTAATCATACTATGAAGGTAAATGTTTAGTGCTAAAGACAAATTCAAGAAATATTGTTATAAATTTCTATAATTTATAGATGAGACTAATAACATATAAAAGCATCCCAAAAGAAAGACTGATTCTGCTAAATTCCTGGAACACAATTGTTTTTTGTTATAACTATCACATTACACACATTGTAATTATATTGGTATCGTAATCGATATGGTCAAGTAAATCGATTAATTAGCCACTTCATGGAATAGTAACTAGTATTTCCATTACTTAATGCCGGTTTCTTAGTGTGCGTGTTACACAGCCAGTCTTACTTTCATTGAGTTTTGTAAAATGACCAATTAAGTTAGGAAAATTCTGGGATGAGATCTGTATTTAGATATATGATAGTACCTTGGAAACTGACACTATTATTACCACTTACCGCAATCTAAACTCTTAATCACACACTATTTATAACCTGCTCTTAAAAAGCATTTCATGAACAGATACGCAATTATATAGTATTATTATTATATAGACGCAGTGATAACCATCAAGATGCGAAATCAAATCAGGAACACCCTTTAAATTTAAGCATTGTGCAATCAGGAAAAGAAACAACCAGTGACTCGATAAACTGAGACAACTAAGAATATTTATGAATAATGAAGAAGATTTAGATGTGTTTTTTAAAAAGGATGTTTAAATTGTGAGGCTTTTATGGTCTTCCTAAACAACACACTCCAAAAACCTATAACAAATTGTTAGTCGCTTGTTAAGAAATACTAATTGCCCCCTTCTGCCTGGAGTATGAGATGATAATAACATCCAGAAAAGAAGTGAGAGATTTATGATTAAACCATCCAGTTTATAGAATGAAGCACCAAGAAAATATGTGTACATTTACCTGAACGGGACGTGCATTTGTTGTCATTAGAATTGACATTTGATTTTGCTGGACATTTACAGTAAATTTTCCGAAATTGACTCAGTTCAAACTTTTCAATTTGAATAATCCGACCAGGCATAGCCCATGAATTGGCAAATTTATATGGACTAGAGAAACGATAATGATAATTAGTTATCCACGAAATTCATACAACTAAATATAAATTCCTCAAATTCAAAGTCCGAAGAGAAACTTAAGGTTCATAGTTCAAAACCATGCATGAATCACTCCGTGTGCTAGTTATCCAAAGAGTATATAACATAGAAATGGAGTTGGTACATAGATCAAGTAATACCTTGTTTATTTTAAAGGACGAATGAGAAGCAAAGAAATCAACTGCTGTGATTGGCTGGTTTTCAGCGAATCAGAAACGGAATAATGTAAATCACGTGTTTTACATTAATTTGAAGTGTTCACCTGACATCGTAAATTTCCTGAATTCGGTTTTTGATTCAGTGAGAAATGCACCATTTAGGACAATCGGAAATTTTTAAAATTTTGAGCTGTAATTTTAATGACCTTCCCAAGAAACTTCTTTAAACCTAGTTACTTCCGTATAAGAGTTTGTGGAAAGTGAACAACATAAAGCATAATACACATAGGATTTATTTTGAGTCCTGATACAAATAAGTTTATTTATTATCCTATACTGATTAGTGTCGAATTCATCGTTTATTATTGTTTTGTTAAATGAATTAAATTGTTATTATAGAAACCTCAAAATATTTAGTCATACGAAAGGATAAGTGAAATAGTCAGTACTACTATGTGTGACCTAAATTGGTGAAAATCAAACGTGTACCTTTTCTGATGAAATACAGTCACCATAACAACTCATTAATCTAATTTTTATTTGTATTTCAATAGGATAACTGGTATGAGGCATTTTATTGACAAGGTAATTGTATTTTTAGATGCTTACATTTTTTCTAGATAAATAGTGTAATGATAATATAAATACAACAATAATATTGTGTTAGTATTCATAGTTTGGAAGATTTGTGTTTGGAAAGGGTATGGGAAGGAACATTTCGTTAGTTAGAAATTTAAATTATAGAGTTTAAAGGACAAACATGTTAATTACTATCGATTGAAGATGGCATAATCGTCTGTAAATCAATAATAAAGAGTCCCATGATAATCTGAACTGTCCTGAAGTGACACTGCACTCACTGTACCATTTGTATTAATACAGATTTTATGTAAGGTTATTTTATCATATTCAATTGTTAGTGAATAACTTATTTTAAAATCTCTTAGAAGGAGTGATAACTCGATTCACTGTTATATAAATTAGGTAATGCTTTAATATTCATTCTGTTATTTTTTAGATTCGAATTCTAGTGCAAAACACTACGATAGGCAGGAATTTTGCGAAAAATTAAAAGTATTTGCATCATTTATGTGCATAGCCTTCAATCGTCCATTTGCATCTTTCGATGTTTTCTGCTATCTAAACTTTCCTCCCTTCCGGTGTCCAACGCCGTTCTTCCGATGCAATGAAAGTCTTCACAATGGTTGTAACTTCGACGCCATGTTCAGCTACACACTATTTACAACACACCCTCTTTAGTAGCGTCCACTCTACTAGTTGATTTCATTATTAGTAATAAAGCAAATTACTTGGAATAATTTAATTGATTTTGGAAATGAAAATCATTTCCAATCACTAGTTCTTTTTCTAGGATGTTTTTATTTGTATATGAGATATTCTGAGATTGTCACATCAAAAGGAGTCCATAAAAGACCTGAATGGAACAAGTTTTACTACAACTCTTCATAACGAAGTGCTAAACATTATTATTGTTTATTTCATTGAATAGTTAACATACATCAATGGAAAAGTGAGTTTGAGCTGGTGATGTCGTTCAAAAGAACGATGAAAGCTCCACGACCAAACCATCCAGCTCAGAGAACAAATCTTCATCAAAACCATCCACTTGAGTTACAAATCTTCTCCACCATCTCCAAACCATTTGAGCGTAGTAAGCTTCTCGTTGTTCGAAAATGGAAGAATTTCACCAAAAGGCAGGCCACCACTCGAGAACAACTATATTTTATCCACGAGTGTCTTCGTCAGTATGTTCTACCAACAAGTGTAAGATACAGGCCTCCGATCAACCGCCTGTCGGGATGGAGGATAGCTGAACACGTGAGTTTATTTTAATAGTATTCTGATGAGTAACGTAGGTTTCATCCCACATAAAATGTATATAGTACCATGTTACAGAAAATGTAACTGTAAATAGTATGATTGAAAAAAGATCCATTTTAATTATTTTTTTCAAATAATAGATTTCTGTACGGAGGAGAAATAAATCGATGTTGACTAAATTTCCATGACAAAGTAATTAAATAAAAGTATTCGGGAGATTATTACGTAACACTTAAATTTATCTCACTTCCTTTGATTGAAACAATCATGTCTAAAAGTGTAGGTCACACAATAAGTACATACTGTATTCTAATACAAAAATCTAAATATACATATCCTTCTTTTTATCATTCATTTATCAACAACCATAAAAACTTAAAAACGAAACGATTTTAATCATCAGTCTAATAGCATAGCATTCAACATCGTTAGTGAGATTGCATGTTATGCAATAAAAAAGACGTATAGCGAGTTAAAAATCCATCGCGTGTTATAAATGTTCCAACTTTTTGTAATACTTATTACTAAAGTTGAGTTGATTTTTAGTGAAATTTCTGAATACTCATTAGAGTCATACAATAATTGTCAAGATAATGAACGGAAAAGAGAAAAAAATTACCATTTATGTATATGGGTGTGTCTGTATAAGAGAGAGAAACACAAGGCAACTAATTGAAAGCGTAAACAAGATTTAGTGAATTACGGCAAAAAAAGCCGCCAGTTACAATGGCGTTAATAATCATTTATCATTTATTCAGTGGTTAGTTGATTAGTTATCGGTAAACATAGAAATTTATTCTCTTTTCATACTTTGATGAAGGATGCATAACAATATATAATTTCACATAGTCAATTCAATAAAAATCTATCAAATAAAATTATATCACTAACGTGTTGGATTAATGAACCGAAATACACATTAATTTCTTATCAGAAGGGGTTTTGTGGAGATTTAGTATTTTTCATAGTAGAAAGCATGAGTCAATTGAAGCTAGACCACCATGGAAAACCTGAGAGCAGTGGACGGCCTTTTCGTCCCAGGTTTTCCATGGTGGTCTAGCTTCAATTGACTCATGCTTTCTACATTAATTTCTCTCTGAAAACAGACTTGATTAAAACTACGAAGTGAATGGATACGCACAGATACATACATCAATTATCTTTTTTTTTAAAGAAATGTTTTCATTAAAAATCTGTTACCAAGTCAAGTTATTATAAATGTTCAACTAGATATAAATAGTACTCTTGAATTATGAAACAAAAGAGTTTACATAATTGAATAGTTACTTGGACATCCCATGTAAATGTATATGAGTTGTCATTATCAGGTTGCTATAGTACAGTATTGATTTTAATTGTCACTATTGATTACTTATAAACACACAAAAAATTTAAATAAGTAGGAAAAATAAATAATAATAAGGAAAGAATCAGTTTTATAAACCTATTTCTTATGACTGTTCGTATTAGGATAATCAAATGAACATATTGATTATACAGACTAGTTTTCGTAACTTAAAAGTATAAATAATTAGACGGAAATTATACCGACATGAGTTACTATCTCACAACAGACCTGGTTGAACTGCACTGGTCACTACCTCTCATCAGAACGAAACGGTCGTCCAGTGCTTCCAGGTTTTTCATGGTAGTCTGGCTTCAATTGACTCATGATCTCAACTATTAAAATTACTATAATATCCACAAAACCCTTCTGCTATTAAATAAAAAAATTATAAGTACTTGAAAAGATTAAAATCCCATTAGGAAATATCATATAAAGTGGAAACCAAATGATATAATCTGTAAAGTCACAATCTTAATGTGGCTTCCTACTCATATCTATAATCCAAACCTTCTAAGTAAATACACAATGGTTAGATAAAGTCCTAACTCAGTATCTTAGTAAGACGAAGATAAAATAATTCATAAATGATGAAACATTTTGTAAACAGGTTCAGATAATCATTGTAAGCAAAGATGGATAGTGGCTAACAGTGGAATCCAGGACACGCGTTTCGTCTTATTTGGGACTCGTTAGCTGGATGTACCTGCATCTCAGAGTTGATGTTCACTCTGGGACTCGAACGCAATACCATTCGCTTCCAATACCATCGCATTATCCACTCAGCTATGCTTGTGAATTAAGGCTATATTAAGGCAATACGCACAGTATGCACATATTACAATTAAAGACTGATCAGTTGCAGTCCTAACACATCAATGGGAAGATTCAAACAAACAATACGAAGTGAATATAGGTTTAGACAATATTTAACCTTAAACTATTCCACACACAAAAACCTTGAAAAAAATTCAATTTAATTAATGAAATATAAATGCTCTAATTCACACTCAAATAAGAATTTATTCATTTGTACATTCGTTGGGAATTTATTTCAAAATGAGGAATGATAAAGGATGAAATAGTTTTAAGAGCAAAATAGATCTAAAAAGTATTAAACGTCGAAATTATTGTCGAAATAATTTTAGAGATTGAAATTTAATTAATCTCAATCTTTTGCCTAGGAAACTGATTCATACTACTTTAGGGGAATGATTAAAATCAATATTATTAAATAATAAGTAACATTTCATATCTTCAACGCCACGATGGCATTTGAAGAAAAAGATACTGGGTTTGAGTCCCAGAGTGAACATCAACTCTGAGATGCAGGTACATCCAGCTGATGAGTCCCGAATAGGATGAAACGCACGTCAAACTGGATTCCACTGCTATCCACTACCCATCTTTGTTTACAATGCTTGTGATATAAGGCTATGTCGAGGCAATAAGCACAGGATGCACATATACCTATAAGAGGCTGACCATTTGCAGTCCTAAACATCAATGGGAAGATTCCAACAAACAATACTAAGTGATTTATGAATAGTTTAAAATAATAAACTTCAGTATAGAAGATTATAAAACTTTCATAGTTAAAATCACGAACTGATTTTAGTTAGATCACCACTGAAAACCAAGGAGCGCTGAATGGCAATTTTATCCTAGTATATGTGACATCTCAACGGTTCGTATCCACAACTCAATCACAAATTGAATCCAGGACCAGCAATTTCCACAACACGTTATAATAATAATAACTAACTTATGACTAACTTAAAGATTCAATTCCTGGAGTTCTAGTCAGAAGCTGT